CTGGATGTGTGCGACTCTCTCTCTCTCTCTCTCTCTCTCTCTCTCTCTCTCTCTCTCTCTCTCTCTCTCTCTCTCTCTCTCCCTCTCTGTCTCTCTCTCTCTCTCCTATCCCCCTCGTTCGCTAGCAGGAAGTCTAGAGAGAGAAGAAGATATGCGTGTGTTCATGTGGGAAGGTACATATGTGCATCTAGGTGCACACACTTGGAGGCCAGAGGTAGATGTCTTCCTCAATTGCTTTCTGCCTTTGTCTTATTTTTTTCCTTCCTTCCTTCCTTCCTTCCTTCCTTCCTTCCTTCCTTCCTTCCTTCCTTCCTTCCTTCCTTCCTTCTTTCCTTTCTTTCTTCCTTCCTCCTCTTCTTCATCTTCCTATTATTCTTTTCCTTTTTTAAGACAGAGTTCCTCATTGAACCTGGAAGCCATTGATTTGGCTAGGCTGGTTAGTCATTGAGCCTCAGGAATCTGCTGTCTCCACTGTACTGGCCAAGGCCAGGGTGACAGACAAGGGAATCGGAACCAAGAACTCCATGCTTGCATGGAAAACACATTACATACTGAGCTATCTCCCAGCCTCTTTTAGATACATTTTTTAAATTATAAATTCTTGTTTTGAGGTATATTACAGGGCTTTTGCTTGAATATATATATACATATATGTATATATAAAATTTTATTCATATTTACAGGAAACAAAACAATAAGAATAGAATACCTATTGATATTACATCTGTTAATTAAGTTTGGAGAATTGCCATTTCTTGGTGTCAACTTTTCTCATCTAAGTGCACGGGGCTCTGCTGATTTCAGGGTACTCCTGTGCTTCTGTGGTTTCCTGTTTGGTGACTCTAACAAGTTTTCTGTTATCACTTCTGGAAGTGGACTATGCTCAGCCAACTTTCCAGAAGGAAACACATGACGCCATTTGATTGGATAACTGGAGACAAAGGTAGTGCTTATGGACATATAAATAAAATAGGAAAATTCGAGGGACTTTGCAGGAATCAGCAGTGTGGGTCCCTTATCGTACTGCAGCAGAAATGATTGAGGAGAAGTTACAGTGACAGAGGCCACCAGAAAGGAGCATGTTAGGGTGCTGTAGCCCCACCAGGGACCCCAGCCTGGAGGAGGACATGAATGTGCTGCCTCCTGTTGTCTCGCTCTGAGATCTTCTACTGGGCTTCTTCCCCCTGGTCAACCTCAGCAAGAGGCAAGAGCATGAGAGAGTTCACTGTCAATACAACTGGGTCTTCCTGAGTACTCAGCAGATGGAGTTAGGCAAGAATAAATCTGCAGGATAAATGGTGTGTTCAACTTGGTATCCCTTTTTTCCCCATGGAAACTCTGGATATATTTCTTATTTAAAAGACATTTACTTTCATGTTTTAAGGTGAAATTTGCATTCAATAAAACTCATAGATTTTTAAGAGAATAGTTCAATGAAATTGAGAATGTACACAGCTATGAACACTCCGCAAAAATGGAAATTCGTCTGTGTTCCTTCAGGCCATCTGTTTTCCCCAACCTGGGTATAAAAAAACAACTTTCCAGATTTTTTTCACTATAATTTAGTCTTTTATAAAAATTTCATATAAATGTCTTTGGGGTCTGGCTTCTTTCATCTTGCACAAGATTTCTGAGTTTCAGCAAAGTTTGTTGCATGGCTGTGCTTGGTGGCACACAACTTGAATCTCAGTACTTGGGAGGTAGAGGCAGATGGGTCTCTGTGAGTTCAAGACCAGCCTGGTCTAGGTGGGGAGTTCCAGACCAGCCAAGGCTACATAGTGAGACCTTGTTTTAATCAACCAATCAAACAAAGATTGCTGCGTGTACCAGCACTTTATCCCCACATTTTGCTAAGTATCTCCCAATACCTGGTGTGTGACTCCTGTACTCATGTAGTAAATAAGGTTAAGAATGGTGACACTGGATTATTTCCAGTTCGTAAGCACTAAAAGCAATGCCGCAGAGTTCTGTCTCCAGCGTCTTTATGTGGATACATACATACTTGCTCTTGGCTGCAGAGCTAGTGATGCTGAGCATTTTCCATTACTTATTCTTTTGTTCAGTTTTAGTTGAGTCATTTACCTTCTTATTGGCAAGTTGCTATAGTTCTTTATATGTAGGACAAGGGTCCTTGTTGGAAGTATGCTTTACAGTTCTTTTTGCACTTGTTTATTTTTTAAAGAGAGTTGTCAATAAAATTCTAGAGGCAAATATTCCAGTAAGAGCGTTGCTCAGGAACGAACAAAAAAATAACATTGTGATCCATGTCACACACAGGCTAAGTTGGTTAAAGGTCATAGATTTTGTGTGTGGCAGTAATTTTTCATTTTCTTAAAAACAGTCTTCAGTTATGGTTTATGTTTCCTCTCCTAATGAATTATTTAAGTGAGTTTAAACCACTTTCAGAGATGGAAGGCATAGCTCAGCGATAGAAGTCTTGCCTGAGCTTTGTCTATCTCCACCTCTGGAAAAAAAATCTGATGGAAAGATTATTTTTAGCTTTCTACTTTTGTCAGCAATTATTGGTTTTGTACTGTAACCAGAAAAAAATCTTTTTTCTTCTATTTAAGGGGATTTATTGAAGTTTTCTTTGTAGTCAACTATATGAGCATTTTAGTAGTATTCCATGATCATTTGAAGGAAGATTAGTTTATATTTTCAAGCTATAGATTTTTTTTAAATGTTATCATTTGTTTGGGTATTTTGCCTGTGTTTATGTCTGTGCACCCTGTGGGTGCAGTTCCCACTGAAGCCAGGAGAGGGCGTCAGGTCCCTGGGAGCTGGACTTTCAGGGTGTTGTGAGCCACCGTGTAGACTGTAGGAACCAAACACTGTTCCTCCAGAGAGCAGCCGTGATCTTCATTGCAGAACCATTTCTCCAGCCCCTGGAATTTATTTGTTAATAATCTCCCTTATTGTTTTGTTTCTTTATCTCTAACCTGGGCTGGAAGGGTGCTAACAGTAAAAAGCTGCTACTGTGACTGCGTGAGACTTTGGAGTTCTAGAGACTTCTGCTTAATGTTATTGGAGCTCAATTGTTCGTTGGCCTGAATTATCCATTTCCTCTTTGTTCCTATGTCGTATTTTTCACCTGAATTTTATCATGTCTGCTTCTAAATTTGTACTTGGTTGGCCCTGAACAATTCTTTCTTCTTTCTTTTTCTTTTCCTGACCAGTTCTTTGACTTTCAGCCTTTTGGGGTCACATTTTTTAGGCGGATTTCCTGATAGAGTCACAGCATGAAGTGGGCTCTGTAAGGGCTCTTACACACACTGCTGTGTGGAACATGTTGCGTCTTAGACTGATTGTGTCATTTTGGTTTATTTTTTAATTTTTGCAAATTTTACAAGTCTTTCGTTGAGTCATTGTCTCTGTTTTATACTCCAGGTGAGATTCACATAAATGAAACCCAGAAGTGTCTGTGTTTTAGAAAGTGCCTGTCACTGTAGGTAACGCCCACTTCCTCCTGCCCACCGTTCACTAGTGAGTTTCCATCGGTAACATCATTCTTGGTGCCATTATATTATCAGGTATCTGCTAGAAACAAATGTCTGCTTATATGATCTACTAACTGACTTCCAAATCTGTGGTTCTCCATCCAGAATGTCCCCAAATCCATTATGATGTCAGGATACGTTTATTTGTTGGTTCTATGTACTTTTTGTTTTGTTTTCTTTGTTTGGTCTTTTGAGACAGAGGTGTGTGTGTGTGTGTGTGTGTGTGTGTGTGTGTGTGTGTGTGTGTGTCCCTGGCTGTCCTGGAACTTGCTCTGTAGACCAGGCTGGCCTTGAACTCACTTGACATCCTCTTCCGGGATTTAAGGCTTACGCTATCACCACCCAGCTGATTCTATGTGTTTTATTAGCACTTAAATTCACATGTTTAAAACTTTGTTGGTTACATTTCAATACTTAATAGCTCTTAAATTCACACTTGAAAGTTGACTGGTAAGTTTCAGCACTGCTTTTCATGAATTGCTATTTCACTGTTTGCTAAATTAAGCCCTTGGGGGAGCCACTGTTCCTAGGATGCTGCATAGGAGCAGTGCTGGCTAGCCTTCCAGGCTTCCCAGTCCAGCCTCGGTCCCTGTTGCCATGGAGACAGACTCCCTCCTGCAATATACTCGTGGGGGAATTCTTGGAGACTCTTGCCTACCCTGCTTCTCCTAATCAAACTAGTCCCAGGACAGTTCTTGTGAGGAAAGCTTCTGAGACTGAGGTGACCGAACATCAAGAGAGAAGCTTTTTGTTGAGAATTCCCTGAGTCCTCTGGCCAGGCCCAGTCACCTTTCTAACGCTATTTTGTATATGCCCCTCCCCCAGGATGCTCAGTTCAATGGCAGCTGGTTTGGGCAGCCCTGATGTTCACAGAGAGTGCTGGATGGTTTAACTCTTCATTATTTTCGTCTTCAGTTTCTTCGGTGGGATTTTCAGGAGAGGGAAACCGTACTAAATCATGCAGCAAAGCTCACCTCAGACTGCTGAAATGCCGGGATTGGGTTTATGTCGGAAACTTGACAGCCGCGCACGGCCCTCCATACTCCATGTCCCATTTTCTGTTTTTAGTGCTACACATTACCAAGAAGCTTTGTAAGTTTCCTCCAAGGCTTCCTGGGAGTCGTCCTCCTGAGAAGAGTCTGTGTAGCACAGGAAGGGGGAGGTGCTTATTTACCTCCGTTCAAAACTGGTCTTCGGTCCAGATCCCGCCTTTGTCATCCTGGTGCTGTTCGGGAGCTTCAACGCACGTGGTCTCCGAGGACTTCCCCTTTACGCAGACTTGCACGCTGCACAGGTTTGCCTATCGTCTCGGGGATCACAACGTCCTATTTAAAGCTCTTTAAACTAGCTTCATATATACATTCGTTTTCAGAAATCCCGCCCTCCTTTTCCTGGAAGATGTTTCAGTTTTCCTCGGTGTGAAGCTGTCTTCATTTGCAGTTCGCGCCCCCCCTCCTCCAACACATCCCCGCTTCCACAATCTGGTGTGACAGGCCAGGCTTACAGACCCAGCACCTTGTCGCTGGGATTTCGTTTCCCTCCTCAAATGACAATTCGCAGCAGACGGCCTTAATTATCAACAATGGGGGAACGGAACCCATCTATTAGAGCCAGCAATTCTGGCTTTGGCTATTGCTGGTAAATTAGTGACTGGGCAAAGACCTTTTGTGACTCATTTCCATGACCTCTGTTGTAGAGAAGGAATTAAGATCGCTGCAAATATGACAGGGTAGCGCTGAAATATTTTGCTCTCAGATGAGACGATATGAATCACTGCACAGTAACGCCTGCTAAATACACCAGCCATCCATTTAAGGATGGCTACCTAGGATCAACAACGTACAGCGAACAGCTTACTGCACAAAGCGTGGAGGCCTCGCCAAGGCACCCGAGCAGAAGAAAGCTGACTCTATGGGGGGCATTGCACCGGAAATGCTCCGGGGAGAGCAACCTTCTCCTGTAAGAGAACCTCATGCTTGACAGACCACGTGAAAAGGTGGTGGAAAATAAGTCCGGAGGTCGACAAACTGGTTTTGACTAGGCTGTGTGAACTTGGGCCAATCCATTTAATTTCATGAGGTTGTGGTAGTCTTTGACTAAACTTGAGGCTGCAAATGTTCTTGCTGGGTCCCTGTGTGAACTGGAGCTGGTGCACAGATCAAAGATACGGTTCCTGATCTACAGGTACGGCCCCTGATCTACAGGTACACCACGGATCTACAGGTACGGCCCCTGATCTACAGGTACACCACGGATCTACAGGTACTCCACAGCCTGCTGTGGCAGCAGCTGGGTGAGGCAGAGACTCACAAGCACTGTGGTATCCCCCAGGGTGCTTTCTGCACACTGTTAAGGATGCTGCATCCTCCTCTTTGTGTGTGGATGCAGGAGGGATTTAGTCAAGGGTGAGGGTAGAGTATCCTGTCTATTTCAGAATGAACTGTCCTGATTCCACACTCATTCCTGCCAGGGGTTTACACAATGACCTGACTCCTTCCCCACAGGGTGCCAATTTTTTTCTTTGAAAGCAGCATTATCCCTGCTACTCCCACAGCCCTCCTCAGGGTTCTGCAGCCATCTAACCAGCTCCGTAGCTTAGATTGCTCTGAGGCGGAACCTGCCATTTCCTTGTTTGCCTCACTTCTGACTATACTCAACATATTGTATGTTGTAAGGTTTTGCAGCTTTTAAAGAATTGTAACACTGAAAACCGACTGAAAAGTGTCACCAGTATTCCATTCTCTAGCAAAGTTTATGTGAATGCTTTCAGATCTCGTGAAAAGATGGGCTGCGGATATGGCCCTAGGAGTTTGCTCCAATCTCTAGGTGGGTCACAAAACTCCAGGGGTTACTCATCAACCCCTGAGATGCTCCAGTAACAATCCTCGTGCCTAGAGGGCCTGGAATTCTGCCAAGGAACAACTACTACAAATTCTCAACTGTCCCAACATTGCAACAGTCTTTCCGCACCTCACCTACAGGGAGACATAGTTAAAGACCTTAGTGGATGCCTGAAACCATGGATGCTCCCAAACCCTTTATAGAAACGGCTTTTCCCTATATATGGCCTGCCACTAGAACAGTATCTGAGAACTTTATATCCCGCTTCACAAGCAGGAGAGAGAGAGAGAGAGAGAGAGAGAGAGAGAGAGAGAGAGAGAGAGAGAGAGAGAGAGAGAGAGAGAGAGAGAAGCTGGGCCTGGTATGAGGTTTAAAACCTCAAAGCCCACCCCTAGCAACACATCTTCTCCAGCAAGGAGGATGAACCTGCTACAAGGTTAACACTCATCCAGGTGAGACAAGAGCAGGAGCTCAATTTTGCAAGGACCTGGGGCACTTTAAGAAAAGAGGCCCAAGGGAACCTTCTAGAGCTGGTAACTGTATCTGGCGGTGGCTGTAGAGTTTATATGTAAAACCTCTTTATGTGTGACCTCAGATACATGCTCTGTTGTGTGGAAGTTATATCAAGAACTAACACTAGGACAGTCTGGAGATCTTCTGCTTTTGTTTGATTTTTTTTTTTTTTTTTTTTTTTGTACCGGGGTTTTCTCGGGTAGCTCAGACTGGCTTTCAGGTTGATGTCCTTTGGCCTCCATCTGCAAGCAGCTGTGATTACAGTCATGAACTAGTCCAACCAGCTACTCTAGCAATCTCGGACTTTATATTTGCACAAAAATGTAACACTTTTCTATTAAATTTCATAAGATGGAAATGTGATGAGCTGAGCAAAGTAGGTTTGTACAGGTAGAAAAAGTCTTGAAGGAGGGAGAAAGAAAAGACTCAAACTGACTCTTTAAAAGCTCTAAGCCTTGGGCTGGAGAGATGGCTCAGAGGTTAAGAGCATTGCCTGCTCTTCCAAAGGTCCTGAGTTCAATTCCCAGCAACCACATGGTGGCTCACAACCATCTGTAATGAGGTCTGGTGCCCTCTTCTGGCCTGCAGGCATACACACAGACAGAATATTGTATAAATAATAAAATAAATATTTAAAAAAAAAAAAGCTCTAAGCCTGGATTAACTGCACAGGGATGCATGAGGACGTTGCCATAGGTTCAGGTCATATTGTTGATCGTGTTTACCCCGTCTGGGTTGGCCACGGAATTACACTTCTAAGGTGGGGGCAGGGACAGAACTGAGCAAATAAATTACTGGTGACATCTGGGCACTGTGCATCACCTTTAGTGTGAGGATGAAGGAGGCATTGTCAATGTCAGAGATGCACTGTTTGTCGGAGAAATTGAATCAATCTCTCCTCTCTCTCTCTCTCTCCCTCCCTCCCTCCCTCCTTCCCTCACTCCCTCCCTCACCCCCTATCTCTCATCCTGTTTTCTCAAGTAAACAGTTCAGCTTCAGATTGTGACACGGTTTACCACGGGTACCTTCACTTCGATTTCCTGTGTGGCCCACTGGGGCACTATCCCGGAACTCAGTCCACAAGGAATCGCCCACATTAAGTTTTGCATACTGTCAGGACACATGGGATTTTTTTTTTCAGCTCTAAGGAAAGGAAAAGGAGGAAGAGGTATAGTTGAAGCCGCACCCCATTGTGACAGCCACTAGCCAGCTACCTGCCCTGGTCCCAGAGTTCCATCACGCTTGCCTAGGAGGGTGGGCAGGTTCTCTGCAGAGGACATCCCGGTGTGCTGCTCCACCCGCTCCTGGGAACACGCCGCTCATCAGGCTGCCGGAGAGAAGAAAGAACACACGTCAGTAGCTTCCCCTCTTTCTGCAATGAGTAGTTTTGTTTTTAACATCTGCGGTCTGCTTCTGACTCAGTTTGCTTTGACTGGATGTATCAGGAAGTACAGCACAGGCTGGCTTAAGTAACTGAGAGACTAGAGGACTCACGGAAGCGGTTTTAAGACTTGATCCTCAGCGGGCTAACACGGCTGTACCACTGCTGCCCCGGGACCGGTGCCTGCAGCCCGCTCTGCAGCCCTTGGCGTGGGATTTAGTTTAAGCCTGATGTCCTTGTGGGGATAAGACACTTGCAGCCACCACTACATCTGTCACATTCTGGGAGAGGCTCTAGATCATGCAGAGGAGTGGAGAGACTGTCTCCCCCAAATCCCAGCAAAACAACCTATGTCTTGTTTGTCCTGGCGCCAGCAGGACGTATCACTGTAGTTTGCTGTTTGTGTGTTTGGTTTATAGCAGAGGAGCCACTGCCCAATTCAAAGTAATTACTCATGGATTTTCCTCAGAGTTTGTTCTTACACGGAGGGTTGTGGTTCATTTTTGTCTGCGGTGTGAGGTAGAACTCAAACTTGATTTGCTTCGTATATGTAGCAAACTGTCCCAGGCATGGCTAGTTGCAGCTAGTTGGGGCTGTGTCAGCTGGGGACAGATGATCAGTTGACCTCCCCCCACACCTTCCAGGAGGGAACATTAACACTCCTCCTGATCCTGCTCTGATTTCAGATAGCACCTTTGTGAAAAACCAACCAACCATAAACGCAGGGCTTTGTTTGTGACAGCCCCACTGACGTCTGTGTGTATACCTTTGTGTAACTCTTGCACTGCCGGGATTATGGGAGCTTAACATAAAGCTACGAAATGAGAAGTTTCGGGTCTTCCGGCTTTCTTATCTCTTTGGAAACTTTTTTCACTATTCTGAACCCTGTGAATTTCTGTGAGTTTTAAGATGCAGGTGTCAGTTTCTGTCAAAAAGCTGCTGGGATTTTGACAGGAGTCTTGTTAAACCTGTAGGTCAAGTCAGCAGCCTAGAAGTGCTAAGTCATCCAACCCATGAAGCAGACAGCGTTCCTTTTATTTATATTTATTTTAAACGCAACAAAGCCGCATGGTTTTTAGCATACAAGTCACACTGGTTAGTTTTATAGCAACTTGGCACATACAGGAATCACTGGGGGAAACACCCAGATTGAGGCCTTCCTCCTATCAGATCGGCCTGTGGGCAAGAATGTGGGACATTTTGTAGATTAATGATAATTTGGGAGGGCTCAGCTCACTGTGGTGGTGATTGTAAAGACGGCAAGCTGAGCAAGCCAGTAAGCAGCCCTCCTCCATGGCCTCTGCTTCAGTTCCTGCCTCCAGCTTCCTGCCCCTGGCTTCCGTCAGTGGTAGACGCTAGCCTGTGAGATGTAATAATCCCTTCCTCCCACCTCAGCTCTCTTGCTGTCTGATCACGGCAGCAGAAAGCATCCTGGACTCATGACTTGCACCTTATCTAAGGATATTTGTAAGTACTTTTATTACTTTTGATGCTGCCGTGGCTTCACCTGCGACCTTAATTCCATTTGCACATTTTTAGTTGCCAGCATATAAAGACGCAGTTGAGAGTGTGAGCATGCAGATATGTGTGTGTGCATGTGTGTGTGTGCATGTATGTGTGTGTGTGCATGTGTGTGTGTGCGTGTATGTGTGTGTGCGTGCGTGTGTGTGCGTGCAGATTTGGAGGCCAGCGGTTGACACAGAACGTCTTCAACTGTTTTCCTCCTTTCATTGAGACAGGGTGTGTCACTGGACTTGAAGCTCATGAACTGGCTCTATTTGCTGGCCAGCAAGTACCAGGGATCCTTCATCCTGTCTCAGCCCCCTCCGTGCCGGGCATGCAGCCATGTGCTGCCACACCTGTATGTTTACTTGGGTTTTGTGGATTCAATCCCAAGTCTTCCTGTTTATACGGTGTGCTGTTAGTGACTAAAGGAACAGAACTGATGTGTGTGTGTGTGTGTGTGTGTGTGTGTGTGTGTGTGTTCCTAGTTAGAGTTACTACTTTTATGATAAAACACCATGACCAAAAGCAAGTTGGGGAAGAAAGGGGTTTATTTGGCTTATATTTCCACATTAATAGTTCATCATCGAAGGAAGTCAGTCAGGGCAGGAACTCAAGCAGGGCAGGAACCTGAGGGCAGGAGCTGATGCAGAGACCATGGAAGGGTGCTTCTTACTGGTTTGCTCCTCATAGCTTGTTCAGCATGCTTTCTTATAGAACCCACGACCACCAGCCCAGGGATGGTCCCATCCACACTTCGGCTGGGAGCTCCAGCCAAAAAGTTCCAATCTCTTACAACATTAGGGATATTTTCATGACAATGTATTGCTAAATGTTGTGTGTGTGTGTGTGTGTGTGTATTAAAAGAAGATGCATTAGATTGGCTTACAGGATGGGGTCGCGGTAGCCCAACAATGCTTGTCTGCTCATAGAAAGGCCAAGAATCTGGTTGTTGCTTGGTCCACGAGACTGTCTCAGCTACCCATAGTCCCAATCTGGGGCTGAAGTGCTAGAAGCAGCATTACTCAACCTGTGGGCTGTGACCCCTTGGGTTGCATATCAGATCTCCTGCATACCAAAAATTTACATTATAATTCATAACAGTAGTATGACTTTTAGAATAAAATGGCAGCTATGAAATAGCAGCTAAATAATTTTGTGGTTGCGGGGTGACCACAGCACGATGAACCGTTCTAAAGGGTTGCAGCATTAGGAAGGTTGAGAACCACGGGACCAGAGGATCCCCACCCACAGGAGAGATGAACTTGCCACGGAGACGGAGGACAATAAGACAAAAAGCAAAGTTTCTTTTTTTCGATTCCTTTTATCTGGGCAACCACGGAAAGATGCCACCGCATTTGTTATGGGTTTTCTGCTCCAAATAATCTGATCGTTGTCATAAAAATACCCCTAACTGTGTAAGGAACTGGAAGTTTTTTGCTGGACTTCACAGTCAAAGCTGATGATACAATGTTGAGGGTCACTTAAGACGTGAGACTGCTGTCGTACTGTGTACTCAGCCCATTTGTTTAAACTGCTTTTAAGAGAACAAATAACAACCAACCTCACTTGCCTTGGGCTTGCCATGCAATCAGCTTTTACAACCTATGCTAAGGCATAGCTGTTATCTTAGGTTATGTTCTCTTCCATGGCCCTGGGTCACACACGTGTGTTTGTGTGTCATGTTAACCATATCCAAAGGTTGAAAACAGCATTCTTCTCTTGCTTGAGAGAAAGAGTCTCAGTCTCTCTCTCTCTCTCTCTCTCTCTCTCTCTCTCTCTCTCTCTCTCCCCCCCCCCCCTCCCTCCCTCTGTGATCTTGGTGAGTTGGGGGTAGGTGGGGTGAGTAACTTCAACCCTTATAAACACTGCTCAAGGTTCCTGTAATGATCTCTTATTCAACCCTTATAAACTCTGCTCAAGGTTCCTGTAATGATCTTTTATTCCTCCCCCGGGGATGCCGTCTGTGCTGCTCAGTAAATGTGGAGCAAGGTCCTCTGTTAGAGACGGACACACAGACACAGGGACAGGCAGATTCATAAGACAGCATTCAGACAGGCACAAATCCAGACTCACACAACAGACAGACAGGAAAACACAGGGAGAGGGAGGGAAAGTAAAATTATTCTAAGGGGAAGCGCTTTTTTAATTTCCTTTCTCAAATGTGGCCGCAGCACTGTGGTGGCGACTGAGTTTTCACTTCAAACCGATGCACCCTCGCTTTTGAAATATCTCACAGAGCTCCACACGCTTGTTAAAATCCATAGGCTATTATGATTACAGCAATTTAATTGCCTATAAAGTATACCTTGGCTAAAGAGATTCATGTGTGTTTTAAAACCCTGAAGAGGACCAGTTAGTTTAGAACGAGAGTTGTTATAATAACAGAAAAGACCGTGTTTACGTAATCGGACCAACTTGACAGTAAGGAAGGTCTCACCCCAGGGAGAAAGGAGACGAGATGTTCATCAGAGCGCAGCTAACAGCTGTGAATGGGAAAAGGCAGCCATTCAAGCTAATGCAACGCTAAGAGTTAAGTTGCCTCGCTGTCAGTAACTATGGCGATGGAGGACAGCGGAGGCTATAGCTCACATTACACTGATGTTTGGCTTGTCAGAGCAATCTTGCAAACAGACGTTTGTTTCTCTTTTAAAAACAATACCATGTCTTTGCACATGCTTATTGAGTTTACCTCCATCGCAGTCAGAGAAGAGGCAAGGGCAGGACCCCAGGCTCAGCAGCGCTGTTCACATCTGGAGGCCTCTAAGAATGGATACTATGCCATCCCAGCTGCGTCCCCAAAGCAGAGAGTGCTGTCTGACACTTGCTAGTGCAGAGATGCAGCTCTCTGTGTGCAGAATGTCTTGTGATGCACAGGTTTTCCAGGTCCTTCAAGCCCGAGTACACTGCCCATCTTCTAGAGAGCTCGTGATTGGAGGAAATCTAGGAAACACTTATTTAGTGTGTTGGTTAGATTTGGTCTATCTGACACTTGTCAGGATCGCCTGAGAAGAGGCAATCTCAACTAAGGAAATTGGCATCCATCAGATTGGCCTGTAAGTAAGTTTGTGGGGCATTTTCTTGATTAATGATTCGTGTGGGCTTGCTGTGCATGGTGTCATCCCTGAACAAGTGGTCCTGGGTTGTGCATGAAAGAAAATAGAGCAGGACATGGATGGTAAGTCAGTAATCAGCATCCCTCCATGGTCTCTGCTTCAGTTTCTGCCTCCAGATTGCTGCCTTGAGTTCCTGCCCTGACAGCCCTTCATGGTAGACTATAATCTTCAAGGTGAGATAAACCTTTTCTTCCCCATCTTGGTTACTTTTTTATTGTTGTGATAAGGCACTATGACCAAGGCAGCTTAGAAAGAGAGAGCTCATTGGGGGCTTAGTGTTCTGGCGGGTTAGAAGGATGGCGGTGGATAAGCAAGTAGAGCTCACATTTTGATCCACCAGCACGAGGCAGAGAGGTAACTGGGAATGGTGTGCGCTTTTAAAACCTCAAAGCCTGCCTCCAGTGACACATCTTCTCCAAGAAGGCCACACCTCCTAATTCTTCCCAAACAGTTCCACCAACTGGGGACCTAGTATTTAAACATATAATCCAATGGGAATCATTATCACTGAAACCACCCCACTCCCCCAAGATGCTTTTGGTCATGGAGTTTATCAAAATAGGGAGCAAAGCAAGAGCTACTTTGTACTTCTGAACACACAGGCCTTTGAGACTTTTTTTATATGTGAAATGAAAGAAAAATAAGCCAGGTCTGCCTTCTCACAGGTAAGGTAGCTCCTCTTCAAAACTACCAAGCTCATCAAACTTGGTCTAAAACAACCCTAGACGCAACCAACTGGCACTCACTGAAGGCAACTTGCCTATTACATGGGCTGCCACTGGGAAAATAGCACAGTTGTTTCTGAGATTTATTGTGAATAGACACCCTTCAAGAACATGCTATCATGATGCTGTTAACAATAGATGGGTGCCAGTGCCAGGCCAGGCCCCGATGCTTTCACGCGTGGGCTTCAGGTTAGCAATGAGCAGTAATACTATAGCAATAGCAATTATTTCAGTGAAGAATGCATCATCTTTTAAGTTATTTTTAATACAACTTATTAAAATGATCCTCAGTGGTATAAACTGATCCTGAGAATAGTTTGATAACTTAATATATTAATTATGATAATTTATTAATTATATCAATATTTTATTGATATATTAACATATATAGTAATTTTTCGGAGACAGTCTTACCATGCAGTTCTGGCTAGCCTGGAACTCTCTATGTCTTTATGTAGATCAAGCTGGCTGCTCCTCCTGTGTTAAAGGTGTGTATCACTACACCTGATCAGAAAAGTCTTTTAAGGCCATTTTATGGTTCACGTCTTTAATCTCAGCCCTTGGGAGGCAGAAGCAGGTGGATCTCTGTGAGTTTGAGGCCAGCCTGGTTTACATAATGAGTTCCAGGAGAGCTGAGTATACACAATGAGACTCTGTCAGAAAAGTTTTTTATGAACCAGAGTGATGGCTCAGCAGGTAAAGGTGCTTGCCACCAAGCCTGATGTGCTGATCTGAGTCCCCAGAATCTACATGAAGGAGAGAACTGGTTCCCAAAGCTGTCCTCCGACCCCCACACATGTGCCCTGGTACATGTACAAAACAGATAAAGAAACATTTGTTAAAAGTTTTAAAAATTGCTTCGCCTTCCAAACAAACTCAGTAAAGGTACATTCACCTAATAGACAAGTAATATCAAGCATATACGTGTGTGCATCAATATTTTATTCCATGAAATGGTTCTGAACTTTCTGCTTTCAAAATAACGATAAGGATATCAAAATCCACCACAAAGCTGAGCCTCGGGTTTTCCCGTCGAAGGATAATCCTATCTGTCGTCTAGAATCTATTAAGAACTACTTTGGCTGAGCCCTGAAACTGAGCTGTCATGGATCAATTACCCAGGATCGAGCTGACATTTGCATCCTGCCAGCAACTGTGCAAACAGATCCCGAGAATTACCTTTTTGACTACAGATGCAGAAAACACAATACTGACCTTTGTAGGAAGCAGGGGTTTAGGATGCTAGGACTAAAAGGTGTGTGCAAAAATAAGTGCTTAAGATTGGGGAGCCTGTGGCAGCTTTAGGCTCCCTCTGTGTGGCATCTGAAGGTGTCCAGGTTACACCAAAGCAAAGAGAAAGCTTTCTCTTCCTGCTAGAGTTGAGCAGAAACCGGAGGTGGCTAGAAGTCCCCAGTTCTCTCCTTAAACGTACACAAAAAGAAAGACTGAAATGTTAAAACCAGAAGCCCCTACCAGCCATGTCTTCCAACAACTGTTTTACAGACCAGAAAACTGGGCCAAAGGTTCATTGACCCAGGTCCAAGCTTCTCCACTCCTAGGCATCTCTCCTCCTCTCCCATGTGACATTTAGAGACGATGTTCATCTAGGGAGGTTTTGCTGGGGGGATGAACTTCGGTCCCCTGCCACTGAGTGACAGTCGAGGTGAAAATGACTTTCTGATGGCTGGTACACCCTAGCGCAGGTCATTCAGAGGGCTGTGAGGGTCCCAGCCCTCCAAGGGACTCTCAGCACATGCAGAGGAACCAGAATTCTCTCTGGAACTCTCCCTCAGGACAAGTGGCTGACACAGATGCTCTGGGCTTTAGCATTAGCTTTGCCGTGACAGCTACATACAGTTACAGATAGCCTGGCTTGCTTCAAAAATTGCCACCTGCTGTCTTTTTAAATAAATTATTAGTTTTTAAAAATTCCATGTGCCTTGGTGTTCTACCTACATTTATGTCTGTGTGAAGGTGTCAGATCCCCTGGAACTGGAGTTACAGACAATTGTGAGCTACCATGTGGGTACTGGGGCTTGAACACGGCTCCTTTGGAAGAGCAGCCAGTGTGCTTAACCGCTGAGCCATCTCTCTAACCCATAATGTGTAGCCCAAGCTTGCTTTGAACGCATAATCTTTCTGCCTCTGCCTCTTTCAGCAAATCCTGTGTGCCTGCATGCGTGCATCTCCACGATTGGCGCCACCTACAGTCTTAATAGCAAGTGAGCTCAAAGAATCCGTGTACTATGCAGGATCTCTGACTCACATTAATACAGCAGGCACCTGTGCAAACACAGTCACTCACAGATCCCAGCACCCCCACAGGCGCCCAGGTCCCTCCTAGAGGACCCATTTGTCTGGAACCTCCATGAACCCCCTGGAACCTCCATGAACTTCCTGGAACCTCCGTGAACCCCCTGGAACCTCCGTGAACACCCTGGAACCTCCGTGAATACCCTGGAACCTCTGTGAACACCCTGGAACCTCCGTGAACCCCCGGAACCTCCGTGAACCCTTCAGCATGTTTTCCATCACCCGTAGATGATGTGACGCACGTGTTAGGTGCCTACAGAGCACTGCATCTGTGTGGATTCAGAACAGGTCTCAGGGTGTGGCAGCCCCAAACGTTACTTTTGGGAGTTGTCTTAGTTTATTTTCTGTTGCAGCGATGAATACCATGGCTAAAAGCAACTTGGGGAGAGGAAAATTTATTTCACTTCGAAGTTATGGTCCATCATCGAGGATAGTGGGAAAAGGAACTCCAGGCAGGAACCCGGAGGCAGGAGCTGATGCAGAGACGGGGTGGAGTGCTGCTTACTGGCTTGCTCCCCATGGCTTGCTCAGCCTGTTTTTTTTATACCACCCAGGACCACCTGCCCAGGGATGGCACTGTGTACAGGGGGCTGGGCCCTTCCACGTCAATCATTGATCACGAAGATCCATACAGGCTTGCCTGTTTTCTCAACTCAGATCTCCTGTTCTCAGATGGTGCTGTCCTGTGACAGGCTGGAAAAAATCCAACTGATACGGAAACATTTTGGATTTTTTCCCCCCATAATATTTTCATCTGTGGTTGGTTGACTGTAAAAAAAAAACCATAATTTATACATGTTATCCCGTCTCAAATACTATATATTTAAGTACACATGTCTTAAGTATCTTTGAAATAGAAAAATATGCCAGACTATAAATGCCCGCACTTACACATCTACACATTTTTGTATCGTTATTAGGTTTGTACATCAGTCTATTTATATTAACAAGAGCGTGTGTGAGATTCTATTGAATGGCAGTTCTAGAAATAAAATGAACTCTTGAACTTCCAGTGGAGTATAAAGTAACTTTTCCTTGCCTGAGAAAAAGGCTGGTGTTATTTCTGAGGCACCCGAAATATCCAGAGACCGCCCCCCTTTACCAGTAACCTGCCTTAGCACCCACCCCAGATTTCAGTTCCACAGGCCACTTGTACTCCTAGAAGTCGAGGGACTGGGTAGTATTGGCTGCTTGGAAGCTTGGAAACTGGGTGTAAACACACAACAGTTGAACGAGATCAAGGCTCAGGAAAGCTGTGGCATTCATATGTCCCCACATTCAACATTTAACCAGCACTCCCTCTGCCTTGACTATTCTACCCAAGAGGAACAGTTTTATTGGTTGTACAAAGTCACACCTGTCCCAGTAAGAGTCAGTCAGCCCCTTGCACATATTTTTGCCAGGTGACCACTTGGTGGCCAAGTCTTGCTGGTGCCATCTTCTGGAGCGCCCAGGCTCAGCAACACTGAGAAGGTGGTTTTAAAATCCCACTTACCGGGCTGGAGAGATGGCTCAGTGGTTAAGAGCATTGCCTGCTCTTCCAAAGGTCCTGAGTTCAATTCCCAGCAACCACATGGTGGCTCACAACCATCTGTAATAGGGTCTGGTGCCCTCTTCTGGCCTGCAGGCAGACACACAGACAGAATATTGTATACATAATAAATAAAATAAATATTTAAAAAAAAATCCCACTTACCTCCAGATAAAAACCTCAGGTTCTGACCATGTGTTATGGTGGAAGGCTTGGCTCTCTGAAGAGTCATTCTTGGAAGCTCTTGGTGACCTGGAATGACCATGGGAGGGATGAATAAGATCCAGCCTGAGATCTCAAGGCACTGTCCCCTTGGTCCTTTAAACTTTTCTTTTATTTAATTCTAATTTTTATTTATTTATTTATTCATTAAAGATTTCTGTCTCTTCCCCGCCACCGCCTCCCATTTACCTCCCCCACCCCCAATCAAGTCCCCCTCCCTCATCAGCCCAAAGAGCAATCAGGGTTCCCTGCCCTGTGGGAAGTCCAAGGACCACCCACCTCCATCCAGGTCTAGTAAGGTGAGCATCCAAACAGCCTAGGCTCCCACAAAGCCAGTACGTGCAGTAGGATCAAAAACCCATTGCCATTGTTCTTGAGTTCTCAGTAGTCCTCATTGTCGGCTATGTTCAGCAAGTCCGGTTTTATCCCAGGCTTTTTCAGACCCAGGCCAGCTGGCCTTGGTGAGTTCCCATTGTGTACAGTGGAGGTTTATGTGGCGGTTTGAGTCAACTTGCAGAAGTCAGTTCTTTCTTTCTTCCATGTAGGTTCTGGAGATTGGCAGCAAGCACTCTGCCTGCTAGGTCCTCTCTGGCCCTCCCTTAGCCTGTCTTTAAAAAAAGAAGTAAATGGAACACTCGCACCATCACCCTGAGGCCGGGGTTTGCCTCTCCTGTCTCAAGCACAGTAGCTAAAATTAGTTACACCTTCTGTTTGGTCACAGTAGGCATGCGCTCACTGCCTTGGCCGGGTGTCTTTCTCAGCATGCCCCAAGTTCTCAGCTTCTCTAATACAGTTCTTTGGTCAAATAAATAAAATAATAATAAGTACTGCTACCAGGGCCAATTCCCTTTTTTTCTAATTGTGATGCTCAGAGATCCTCCCAAAGCACTCCCTGGGCAGAGATTCGGTGGCCTCCTGCAAGGGATGACCTTCCCTTCTCTGGTTCATTTTCTCTAACAGTGACAGCACCCTAGATGGAACCCTCAGAACCCTTGCCACTGCCCCAAACCCACGTGGCGAACCCCAGACAGAGTGATCAGAGAACAAACTTCCAAGTTAAATACTGGGTCCAAGCAGGGTAACTTTGCCTGGAAAGAACAGAAACGAATCTGTATCCACCACAATGTCACACCCACGGTTCAGGACAATTGTGATCTGAATAAACTCTAAGGGGAAATAGGGCACGAGCAGGTATGGTACTCTACATCTGCAGAATGTGTATGTGTGTATGTGTGGGTGTGTGTGTGTGCATATGCTAGCACAAGAATGTGTACATGCATATGTGCGTGTGTGTGTGTGTGTGTGTGTGTGTGTGAAAAACTGAATGCTTGCCTTCTTGAATGACACATAAATGATTTATTTAATAGAAAACAACATTTCAAACCTGAAGGTAGGAAATGGGTGTGAAAGTCAAACAGGCCAAATCAGCAGGGAAGGAAGACCCATCCCAAATGTGGGCTGCACCATCCCATGGACTAGAGTCCTGGGCTGAATAGACAGGAGAAGGCCAGCTGAGCGTGAGCATTGATCTCTCTCTATGATCTACTCTCGCCTATAGATGTAGATGCATCATGACCAGCCACCCTCCTGCATCTGTTACCAAGCCCCACCCCCACCTTAGACGGCATCCACTCAACCCACGGTTGCGGTTGTTTGAGTATTTTACCAGAGCAGCGTGCAAAGTGACTTACACACTGGAACACTGTGACAACTGAGCTCCCAGGAGGGGAACCTCAGACCTCTCCTGACACCCCAAAGCCTAGAGCAGTTTTGCTTTCTCCATCCTCTCTTCCTGGGACCCCAGGGCCAGCCTCTCTTTCTGCTGGCGTTAGCAGTGGAGACGCCCTCACTGCCGAGGCTGGTGTAACACAGCGAAAGTCAACATATCCACAAATAGGACACAGAGATTATGCTAAAACCAGAAGAACCTTTTCTATATCTTTATGGCGAAATCAAGCCTTTGAGGGATTTTTTTTCCTTTTATTCCTGTGCTTCTGGTTTGTTAGGGTCCCAATAAAGCCTGGTCTGCCTCCTGGGGAGCTCAGCTCTGCCTCTGAGCCAGGGAATTGTTGTCTCTGTCCTGTGCCTGGCTCACTGCTGTCGCCCCAGGCTGCCTCTCCAGTGCTCATTACTGGGCCAGATGTCCCAGCTCTGTGTTCCTTTCCGAGGCAATCAGTGCCAGCTGAATGCCTGAGCAGCCCCAGCACGCAGGGTGCAGCGTTGCCGATGGCCTTCACATGTGACAAGGCTGCTGGAGTCCCCACGATCCTGCTCGTGACCCTGCATTGCCCAACCCCCCACCCACACTTTGGAATTGGTTTGGTGGAGCAGAGCAGACGCCTTGGTAACAACACGACCCTCAGTGTGGCCCTGCCCCACTCCAGAACACAGCTGTCTCCGCGCTGACCCTGAACGAGGACTTCTTAGTCTAAAACTAAGATAGACAATAACCCCAAATCTACTGAGTTTATCTTAGGTTAAATACATATGGAAAACATTAATCTGTAGGGAACATGTATGGACTTTATTTTCCCTTATTGTAATACTCAAACAATACAGCAGCCACATTGTGTAGATACTCTAAGTTATCCAGTGGGGACTTGATGCCTACGAGAGAAGGCTCACAGGTTCTATGTGCATGCTACATGCTTTGCACATACTACATGTTTTGGGTTGTGTTGAGCAGCCACAGGATCGATCGAGTACCTGAGGGGATCGGAGGACCAGTGACCCTTGACTGACAGATGACCCGCTTTCTTCCAGGAAGGGTCTCCCCTTGCAAAGAGACCCAACAGATGAAGTCACCCAGCTATGCCATTCGTGGTGGTGAATACACATTGTCTGCTTGACTGGATTTGTCACCAAGTGCATCCTCAGGGACCTTTCCAAAGAGTGTTAGCTAAGAAGAAAAGCCCCACCCTATATGTGGGCAGCACCATCGTGTGAGCTGCGGTCCTAGGCTGAATACAAAGGAGAAGATGGGCTGAGTGCCGGCGCTCACCTCTCTCTGCTTCCTGCACCGTTGGTGACATGTCACCAGCTGCTTTATTCTCCCGCCATGCCTCCCCACCACGACAAGCTGCACCCCCTGGCCCTATGAGCCAGGGTAAACTTTTCCTTCCTTAGGTCGCTTGTATATTTTGTCATAGTGAGGAGAAAAACAACAAATATAAAATCCTGAGTCACACTAAAGTCTTGTCCTGGAAGAATTTATTAAACAAATGTTTAAAACCACAGCCTTGTGGGGATGTCTAGATCTATATTTAGAAATAATCAGACAAATATTTTGCTTTCTAACACTTTCAGGAGAGGCAGGCACACAGCAGGAAGATGCTGAGTAAGGCCCTCTGAGTCTTATGACTGGCACCTGACTGGGGCCTGGCTGGTCTCTCCGTGCCGCAGCTTCCAATCTGAAGGCCAGAGTCGGTGGAGTTCCATCTCATTCCCTATTTCCCGTTGGCATTCGGATGCTAACAACAGAAACACAATTCCCCCCTGGAACTCATTTGCGGATCACCTGTGTCTGCGGAGATGTCAGAGCAGACCGCTCCTTGCTGGGGTGTGTACGTGGCCTTGGCTCTTTTCGCAGGATCAGGACGCTCTGCGAACTGCTGTGGCCTCTTCATTTCGCAGTTGTGAAATTCCGTTGGTATTGACTTCACGGTGGCTCATCTTCATTGCTGAGCAAGCTGCATTTCTCCCACGCTCCTTCCTGGGAAGATAGGAAGATTCTAAAGGGAGTGCTCAGAAAGAATAGAGGGCGCTCCTCATACTCCGTCCTCAGCCCAAGTAAGAGGGTGCTCAGGGCTGCTGAGCACAGTGTGGATTCTCCCAGAGCCAGTGTGTGGTTTTCTCTGGCCGCTGGGACGATCAGGGCACTGTGCGTGGCAACTCCAAAAGCAGGCATCCCAAGAGCACTGCCACAGGCCAGCCTTGTTCCAGCTTCCCAGGCAGGGCAGAGCAGGGGTGAGAGACCTGAACCCCAGTGCCAGAGCATGGGCTTTGCCCCAAACTCAGGATGTTGCTAGGTATTCCATCTCTCTGATAGCACCCCAAATCTCCATGCCTCCAAAGGCCTTGATTCTAGTGTTTCCAGGGCATCAAGAACCTAGCCCTGGTACCCACCTATCATCTTGGCGATCTGAGGAGCACTCGAAGAACAAGACTCTTGGAGCCTCTGGAGGGGCCTGATACATACACTCACCACTGTCATTTCACCAGACCCCTCTGGGCTGTGCTCAGGATACAATCTGAGGTCTTTGGGAACAAATGACATAAGAAGAGTTTACAGGTGAAGAGGGCAAAAGGAGAAAAATAGGAATTTTAAGGAGATGATGGGCTCCACATCTAATCTGTTGTATTTGATTTTTCTGTTTCATTTTATTTTGTATGTGTGAGTGTTTTGTCTGCACGCATGTCTGTGCGCCATGTGCAGGCATGCCTGGTACCCATGGAGGCCAGAAGAAAGCACTGGGTCCCCTGGAACTAGAGTTACACAGTTGTGAGCTATGATATAGATGGATGGGAATTGAACCTGGTCCTTGTTAAGAGCAGCCAAAGCTCTTAAGCTCTGAGCCATCTCTCCAGCCCCCAATCTGCTGGATTTGAAATGTCTGGGGGCCATCTAGGATAGAGCAACATCCAGCAAGACAGCAGCTTCACTGAGTGAGACACTGCGCTCAGGAAATCCAGGAAATCAACCGTGACGTTGACAGTGTGCCGTGGTCACTGGAACCTTGTGATGTGGGCCATGCCACTCAGGAGCACATAAAGGAAGAACACAAGCATGAGGCAGTGATTCCGAGACAGGGAAAGAAAGAACGGTCACCTCAGAGCTCGGGGAGTAAGTCCAGGAACATAGACAAAATTACGCAAAGCCTGGCCTAGCAAGGCACGGCCTGAAGGCTGACCTTGGAGGGGTGAGCAGAGGGTTGCCCATGTCCACCCAGCGTCCAGAGCACACTTGCAGGGGACAGATTTCTGCCCTTGGGCCAGTGTATCACAGCTATGGAGTGTACTGGCCTTGTGCCACAGCCCGAAACATGGCAACAGTCAGACACAGTGAGCGGAGTTCCTGTCCCGTGCTCTGGTGATAACAGGAGACCCTTCTCAGGCCAACCTGAGGCAGGACATGGAGTCTGCTTGTTCCCTGCTGATGGTAGCCGGGAAAACACACTGTTCTCCAGTCGGGTGAGCCACCGTTCCTCAAAAGCGTTACTTAAGAGCATTTCTGAGTGTTCAGGGAACAGGCGTCTTCTTCTGGGACCCACAATACTTACTGCCATGTCACGTGGGTCCTGTTGCTTGCCGCTCACTCTCGGTTTCCCTCTGGCTAGTCAGTACACCACACCATGCTCCGGTTCTACTCCAGGCGCGCCCGATTCTACTCCAGGCGCACCCGTCCTGCACAGCTGCGAGGGAAGTTCCCAGAAAGAGGCTCCACCCGCAAACCGGAGCTCCTCTCTCCAAGGCTGACTCTGGGGAGGTGGGGATGTTGCAGTTCTGGAGCTGATTACAGTTTACTGTGCTCATCTTTAGCTCTCTAAGTAGTCATCCCCTGGCCTCCTCTGAGCGGGGCCTGGGTTACCTGACTAACCGGTAAACATCTTTTATACAGTATCAACAAGCCCTAGTTTCGACCAGTCACAGGGCTGGAACACTATCAGGAAGCATCTTAGGCCTATACAGAGTTCTCTCTGTTTTGCTGTAACCCGCCCCTTTCACGCTTCTACCAATACATTTGAAAAGTATCTTGATTTATGGCTTTCTTTGCTCCGTTACTATAAAAACTTCATGAAATTGCTTCCACATTGGAACACGAGATTTAAGGTAACCTAAATCTGTGTTTTCAGGCTGTGAGCGCTCATATTTGGCTCCAGAATAAACTGGTTTTATTCCCCTCTGAAGTGAGAACTGGGTTTTTATGACATCATAGTGTAAGAAACATTAAATATGAGTCTTTTCTATCAAATACTATAAAACTTGTATTTAGGACAAGGACTTCGAACTTTTTGTCTTTCCCACCTTTGAGACTTCTATGCGTGTTTTAATCCCCCCTAATAAAACCTTTGTTTTCACAAGCCCCCCCCCTACATTCTTGGATTAAAATGATTAACTACTTTTGCCTTTGCTTCCTTTGTCCCAATTCTTTTGAAAGTAGCCAACCATGAAAGACTAAGGTCAGACCCCAGGGAATGGGGAAAAGGCACAGTCACCTCCTGCGTTAGAGTAAAAACCAAGAGCACTTCCTGTCTCTGTGTGTGGGGTCTTCTGAGCACAGCCCCTTGATCAGGAGTAAAGCCTGCCTCTACCAGACACATCAGATGGAGTGGTGGTCTCTTTCTTGTGACGGCAAGCTCATTCCTAATACTAGGCAAGCATAGACTCAGATGTACAGTACTTGGAGGTTTCTTGGCCGTTTGTAGAACCACGCAGCTCTGGGAGTTTTCCTGCAGAAGATGGAGCCAGGCATCCTTGTGGATCAGATAACTCAGCAGCATGTATGTGGAGCACTGTGTGCCCAGAGCCTGCAGCCCCTTGCTGGAGCTTCCGACTGAGTACCTCCTTGCAGAGTACGCTCCCTAACACCCAAGTGGTGGAGGAAAAGAAAGAACTCAAGCAAGTTGTTCTTTGATGCCCCCACCACACTGCAGTACACATGCCAAACCCGCGATAAATAAAGTCATAAGCAAATGCGAAAAGGTTTTAAGAGTGCACTGTGCTTGGGAAGTGAGAATGTTGCTTCCTACATTCCAGTCTGGTTAATATTCTACTGTGCTGAGTTTGTTAGCAAAACTGGGGGGAGGGGTTATTTTGCTTTCCAGTGACTATTTAATTTCAAAGACAACTTTACTGGGTGGAGACCAAATAAGAAGTTCAAAGGCAGAAAGGAAGAACAGGAGGAGAAACTGAAAAGCAGGCAGTTGAGACCACACAGCACCTCACAAGAACGGTCCATCCGTTGCCGTCTTGGGCTGATTTTTCATGAGCGTTGCTGTGGCTGGCCTTTTTGCAAGCAGGAGGAGGCTTCGAGCTTCCATGGTTCTACCACTGCTTCAGTATCAGCAAATAATGCTGGGGGCTCTGCCTCGGCCAGCTACAGCCGTTCCCTGACTAATTACGTCCATTAAAACAGACACACACGGGCACTTGCATCAGCTCCATGTATCGTCTGCATCTCCCGAGCTCAGGAAAATTTTTAGTGACATGAAAGAGAAATTCAATTAAACTCAGGTAATCTAATTCGAGCCCTGCTCAAAAGAGAAAGGCCTCTGGGACCTCGTGTTAGTCACTTTTCTCCCTGCTGGGACCAAATGCCTGCCAGGAACTAAGGGACAAAGGATTTACTTGGGGTTGTGGTTGGAGCACACGGTCCATGGAGACCAGGAAGCCTTGGCTGTGGCAGCAGGAGGCTAAGGCCATTTATCACATCTGGGCGGATGAAAGCAGAGCTTAGCTATAAACATCAGGACCTGAACCCAATGACCAACATTATTCAGCCAGGCACCGACCCCCCAAAAAACTTTAACAGCCAGGAACCAAGTATGCCAACACCTGAGACTATGGAAGACATTTTATACTTATTCATAGCAAACCCTTAAACGATGACGTCATTACAGATGATGCCGTTGCGGGAGAACAAAGCACAAGGAAGTAGGAGACTTCTTTACATCTGAGTGCAGTGTAGGATGTGCACTTTCACAGTCCAGCAAGGCCCTGGGGTGCGGGTAGCTGCCTGCACCTTCCCATGCCACCAGATAAGAGCTGAGAGGGCTGGACGTGTCCTCCAAGAGTTCACATGTTGGGACCTTAGTCCATCAGTGTCGCGGTGCTGGGAGGACATGTGTGGGACGTGTTGAGAAATGGGGGTGGGGCGCTCGTAAGTGTGGTGATGCTTTCTCCAGGGAGTTCTCCATCCTACAGGACTGGGCTGGTTATTGAGAGAGGTCACCATAAAGTGGCCCACCCCCTTGCTTTTTCCTCTTCTGCACACACTTTCCGAGCCCACCCCCTCTCTTCCATGAGTTGAAGCAGCTATGAGATCCAGCTCCAGAAACAAACATCAAAATAAAGCTCTATTCTTTCTAAGTAACCCTGTCTTGTGTGCTCAATTATAGCAAAAGAAGCTGGCCTGAGTGGGTGATGGGCTTTTACTAAACTACTTCCTCCTCAAAGAGCAGGATCCCATGAATGAGGAGGACCCTCAGCCCACAAGCAACACGAAGCCCTACCTCAGACATCCAAGGGAAGTATTATTCAGCCAGTCCTTTATCCTTCACAGAGAACACAATGGAAGACTGGATGCTGAGGTATCAAGAGATGAAGTACACAGGGGGTCATTCTGAATGAAGAAATCTCTCACACACACAAAATATTTGTGTTTTACCTGTGAGCTAGGACATGGTTCAAATTCTGCCCTCTCTAGAAAATGGTGGTTTGTGCTTTCCTGATGAGCATAGGGTGGGTGGGGTGTGGAAGAGGGAAGTCGTTAAACTCAGTGACAGCCGCAGGGCTTAGTGGGAGAGCCGAGTTCTGGCCTTGGTTCAATGCATGGGGGTGGGCTGAAGAGCAGGGAGGATTCATGAGTGAGGGACTAATTCCTTCACTCCTGGAGCCCACGGTTCTCCAACACGAGTGTGGTAATGTGCAAATTCCTCTCTGGCGATCACTTCAACGCTCACACTCACAAATATCAGACTACATATCTGCTGTGATCAGGAGGGGGTGTTGGAGGAAATCTGATTCCAAATGAAATATACTGAGAAGTGGTAGGCCGAAGTGGTAGGCCTTTGAGAAGTGGCAGGTCATTACAAGATTAATGCAACTGAACGTGGGAGCAAAATACCTACAGTCTTAACATTCGAAAAAGTGTTGGCAGAGACTGTCCATTTTGAAGCCTTCAAAATTTTTGAGCCTTCGGCTCTCCCACTAAGCCCTGCAACTGTCACTGAATTTAACAACTCCCTTCTTCCACACCCCACCCACCCTGTGCTCATCAGGAAAACACAAACCACCATTTTCTAGAGAGGGCAGAATTTGAAGGCTTCAAAAATGGACAGTCTCACCTCAGTCCAGATGATGCCTTTCCCTCAGCTGCATAGATGGTGCCAGCCCCCCTCCCCCAGTTAACCATAGCTCTGTATCCAGCACCTCCTGAGACCTGCAAGGCCACCTGCAAGGGCAGGGAGGTGCAGGAGGGAGCCATGGGGATCTCAGGCAAGGGACAATAACCTCCCCCATGACCTCTCCACAGAACAGAATGTCAACAGTCAACAAGCTGGGCTGGGAATCCCCTGAAAGCAATCGTGGCTGTTCTGGCCACAACAGAGACAGCTGTCACACTCAGAGAGCAGTGGTCTATACCAGATGCTGATGCTCTGGGTGAGAGTCATTGTGCCCCATGTGACCCAGAAGCAAGTGACCCATGAACCGTGATGTCAGGGAAGCTCTGAATGGCTCCTTGCACGTTAAATGAGAATAGTTTCTTTTGTGCATTTTTCCAGGGGTGGGTGTGGACAATTGTTGGAAGCACAGACATAGAATCATTTTGCCACATGAAGACCCCTTACAATGCAGGATGGTCCTGTGAGCAAAACCTCCAGTGTTCTCCATAAAGCCTTTGCGATTTCCCACTAAAAACGGTCCAGATTTCTTATAGAGCATTGGTGTAGAGTCTTTCTTTATGATGTCCTTTGGTTGGTTGGTTCTGCCACAGTAGGGATGGAACCCAAGGCCAGTGCCCTGTCCCCTGAGGTCCATGAGAAGCCCAAGCCTTTCATCTCCCCATGCAGTGTAGTTTCCCTTGCCTATGTGTTTCCCCCTTCAGTTGTCCCCAAAAGCACAAGGCATTCTCGAGTCTCCTGCTTTGTGTGCAGTCTGTCAATCAACCTGAATTCAGCTGCATTTTGCTTGCAAGAGATTCTTTACAAGTTCCTGTGCTGTCAGTCTGGCTGTGAAAATGTCACCCACACAGAGCTGTCACTAACATATGTATGTGGCAGATCTGGGACATCACAGACATCCTCAGTGTCCTCTGGGACCACAGTCAGGCCCCGAAACTGGCTCCAGCGTTGGTCATTGTTGCTTTTCTTCCAGACTTCCCTCTCCTGTGTCCATTGCTCTGAACGATACCTTTGCTAACAGTCTCCCTTGGGACAAGGGGCTGCATCCACAGGCTGCCTTCTTAGAGTCACTGTCCCCACAGGGTGTCTGGGAAGAGGGAGTTACACAGTCCTCATCTTTTCCCCGCCTCAGGTTCCCTGACACACACCCACATTGTTCTTCCATCTTGCCATCTTGTTGAAAACAAACGGCTGTGTGACTCCATCTGCTCCGGCGTGGCACCCAGCAAACAGGCTGAAATGAATGTGAAGCAGTAAGTGGCATGGGTAGGATAGGAGAGCCATTGGTGTGACAGCCAATCCCTGACTGTGAAGGCAGGGTGATGATGGAGCCTCCTAGGGTGTCCCCAGGACTGCCGGACCCTAATATAAATGACACCACAAACCACTTATGTGGGATTCCTGCAATACTGTGTAACAGGTGCATGCTTTAAGTTCCTGACATTTTCCATTACAAATGAATTCATAGCTGGCATGGCAGTGCACGCCTTTAATCACAGTACTTGGGAGGCAGAGGCAGGTGGATCTTTAAATTTGAAGT